TTGAGGTCGTTTCGACCCCAATGCCTCTAATCATTCGCTTTACCGGATGAAACTCGTACGGAACGAGCGCCAGCTATCCTGAGGGAAACTTCGGAGGGAACCAGCTACTAGATGGTTCGATTAGTCTTTCGCCCCTATACCCAGTTCCGACGATCGATTTGCACGTCAGAATCGCTACGGACCTCCATCAGGGTTTCCCCTGACTTCGTCCTGACCAGGCATAGTTCACCATCTTTCGGGTCCCAGCGTGTACGCTCTGGGTGCGCCTCTTCTCGCAATGAGAATGAGACACTCTGGGAGTGCGAAGCGGCAACTTTTAAGGGCAAACCGCTTATCCTCCCTCGATCTACGCAAGGTAAACCTTTACTTTCATTACGCCTTTAGGTTTAGTTATATCCCAATGACTCGCGCACATGCTAGACTCCTTGGTCCGTGTTTCAAGACGGGTCCTGAAAGTACCCAAATCTAGAGCGTCGCTGATCGGCGTTTCATACGAGGTCTGTTCGAGAACACCGTAACCAACAGTCGTTCTGGGATAGAATCGGCACCAGGTCCGATCGCCATCAAACACAGAACGTGCTTGCTACGGGCCGAACGCTAACTGAAGTAGCGGCCCTGCGCCATTAGTATACCGTCGAGCGAGTCTGTCGGAACATCAAGGGTCCGCATAATTAAAAATTACGCGGGCTCCACCTCGAGTCTTAGACAGACACCCAACGGATCGCGACGTCCTACTAGAGGAAAAGTGCACGCGTTCGACATCGACACGAAGAATATAAGAAGCGGACGACGCCGAAACGCTATCCGTCATACAAACATCCAACTTCGACAGTCGAAACGCGAATGAATTTCCTCTTTCGACCTTTCGGGTTTCTCAGGTTTACCCCTGAACGGTTTCACGTACTATTGAACTCTCTCTTCAAAGTGCTTTTCAACTTTCCCTCACGGTACTTGTTCGCTATCGGTCTCGTGGTGATATTTAGCCTTAGATGGAGTTTACCACCCACTTAGGGCTGCACTCTCAAGCAACCCGACTCTGAGGAGAGATCCTCCCGCAATCGGCAACGGTCACTACGGGCCTGGCACCCTCTATGGGCTGTGGCCCCGTTCAAGAAGGACTTGGACGCACCGCACGACCTCGGGATAAATGGACCCTCCCTAACACCACATTTCCCGGTGACAGATGTCCGCCACGGGATTCAGTGCTGGGCTCATTCCTGTTCGCTCGCCGCTACTAAGGGAATCCTAGTTAGTTTCTTTTCCTCCGCTTAGTAATATGCTTAAATTCAGCGGGTAGTCTCACCTGCTCTGAGGTCGATAAATCTAAATTTAAAATTTTGTACGCAATCACACGTTCCTCACAACAAAATTCACCCACATACATACATTCGTTATAAACAGGCGTTGAAACTAGGCACAGATCAGACGTCATCTTCAAAAGAAGTTTTTCTCGGACACGACGATCGTGCAAACAATTAGTTTTCACCAGTCAAACAAATATTTTTTTTGTATGTGTGAATATTAATTCTGTTTGTAAACGAATTGTTGTGTACAAAATACGTAATAATTTCCAATTGGATTGTATACGTTACTTTCGTATTTTAAGATGTCGCATATATACATAAAAAACATATACACACACGATAACATCCAACACGCTCTGACGTTTTCCTATATAAGAAAACCGAGCAGTCTTTGAAATTGATACGACCCTCAGCCAGGAGTGGTCCGGGAACGAGTATCCGAGGACCGCAATGTGCGTTCGAAATGTCGATGTTCATGTGTCCTGCAGTTCACAAGTTGACGCGCAATTAGCTGCGTTCTTCATCGACCCACGAGCCAAGTGATTCACCGTTCAGGGTAATCGTTTAAATTAGACGCGTTCCGTTCGAAAATTTAAACATAAAAGTTTATTTAAGTACGAAAACAACGTCTTTTATGTAAAATGATAAGTATATTTAGCCAAATTAAAAAAGGAGGTATATTAGGTTTTTTTTAAATAGCACAACACACATGTTTAGCAAACGAGGTGTGCCAAAAAACTATACACGAATTTCCTCTCTTAAAGCGATCAAGAAATTACGTTTAAGTCTAAGATCTCTTGACAATCGGGCGAAAATCTTTATCACCACCGAAATATTTTAGGTACCCGATATAATATATTGTCGAGAGATATTTTGTTATATCAAAACATTTTATTCTACGATCACAAAGATAATAACGTCAGTTATTTTAACAGTTCGAAATAATTTAGTACAGACTTGTCGTTTATTGACAACACTGTAATGATCCTTCCGCAGGTTCACCTACGGAAACCTTGTTACGACTTTTACTTCCTCTAAATGATCAAGTTTGGTCATCTTTCCGAAACATCGACGACGCCGAAACGCCACCGCGCTCAGTCCGAAGACCTCACTAAATCATTCAATCGGTAGTAGCGACGGGCGGTGTGTACAAAGGGCAGGGACGTAATCAACGCGAGCTTATGACTCGCGCTTACTGGGAATTCCTCGTTCATGGGGAACAATTGCAAGCCCCAATCCCTAGCACGAAGGAGGTTCAGCGGGTTACCCGGGCCGCTCGGCCAGGGAGGACACGCTGATTCCTTCAGTGTAGCGCGCGTGCGGCCCAGAACATCTAAGGGCATCACAGACCTGTTATTGCTCAATCTCGTGCGGCTAGAAGCCGCCTGTCCCTCTAAGAAGAATTGTGTGTACGCCGACAGTAAAAACCGCGTGCAGCAAGAGCAGGAAACCCCAACCGGCGGGCCTTTGGGATGTCGAAATACGCCTAGTTAGCAGGCTAGAGTCTCGTTCGTTATCGGAATTAACCAGACAAATCGCTCCACCAACTAAGAACGGCCATGCACCACCACCCACCGAATCAAGAAAGAGCTCTCAATCTGTCAATCCTTCCGGTGTCTGGGCCTGGTGAGGTTTCCCGTGTTGAGTCAAATTAAGCCGCAGGCTCCACTCCTGGTGGTGCCCTTCCGTCAATTCCTTTAAGTTTCAGCTTTGCAACCATACTTCCCCCGGAACCCAAAAGCTTTGGTTTCCCGGAAGCTGCCCGCCGAGTCATCGGAGGAACGTCGGCGGATCGCTAGCTGGCATCGTTTATGGTTAGAACTAGGGCGGTATCTGATCGCCTTCGAACCTCTAACTTTCGTTCTTGATCAATGAAAGCGTTTTTGGCAAATGCTTTCGCTTCTGTCCGTCTTGCGACGATCCAAGAATTTCACCTCTAACGTCGCAATACGAATGCCCCCATCCGTTCCTATTAATCATTACCTCGGGGTTCCGAAAACCAACAAAATAGAACCGAGGTCCTATTCCATTATTCCATGCACACAGTATTCAGGCGAAGTTTTGGCCTGCTTTAAGCACTCTAATTTGTTCAAAGTAAACGTACCGGCCCACCTCGACACTCAATTAAGAGCACCGCGGCGGGATTGAGTTGGACCGCCCTTGCGAGCTAAGCCCACCGGTAGGACGTCCCACGACACGCCAGTTGACACCGCGTACGATGAACCAGCGACGTGGCACACAGATTCAACTACGAGCTTTTTAACCGCAACAACTTTAATATACGCTATTGGAGCTGGAATTACCGCGGCTGCTGGCACCAGACTTGCCCTCCAATTGATCCTCGTTAAAGGGTTTAGAGTGTACTCATTCCGATTACGGGGCCTCGGATGAGTCCCGTATCGTTATTTTTCGTCACTACCTCCCCGTGCCGGGAGTGGGTAATTTGCGCGCCTGCTGCCTTCCTTGGATGTGGTAGCCGTTTCTCAGGCTCCCTCTCCGGAATCGAACCCTGATTCCCCGTTACCCGTTACAACCATGGTAGGCGCAGAACCTACCATCGACAGTTGATAAGGCAGACATTTGAAAGATGCGTCGCCGGTGCGAGACCGTGCGATCAGCACAAAGTTATTCAGAGTCACCAAAGTAAACGATGACGACGAACTTTCGCCCGCCACCGATTGGTTTTGATCTAATAAAAGCGCTCCTTCCGTCTCCGGTCGGAGCTCTGTTTGCATGTATTAGCTCTAGAATTACCACAGTTATCCAAGTAAATGTGGGTACGATCTAAGGAACCATAACTGATTTAATGAGCCTTTCGCGGTTTCACCTTAATTTGGCTTGTACTGAGACATGCATGGCTTAATCTTTGAGACAAGCATATGACTACTGGCAGGATCAACCAGGGAGCTGTTGTATTAACTACTCGAAAAAGAACGAAATAGATAATAGATAATCAGTCTCCTCTAGTTTTTAATAAGAGAAAGACAAACGTATCCTAATCTATCATAATTCTTTTTCGTTTGCGTGTTTATTTGCGTTTGAAGAGATATACTTTCAAACGCCACGCTTACGAAAAAATTTATATGACAAAATAGTTACATACATTTAAGTCTATATATGTCCGGTTGACTTTATAACGATAAAGGCCCATTCAGATCAATCCAAAATTTTCAGAATGATTTAAGCGGATCTACGTTACAATTTTACGCCATCCGGTGAAAAAATTCAACATTCTCTCAACCCTTCGCTAGATTGAAAGCGACACGGTGTTCTCGAAAGAAGCAATCGGTACGAATTTTATAATATACTCGCTCGGAAAGAGGAGAGCTATCGCACATTTATGTGTTTTGATGATAATAAAATCAATCAAAACGCTGTTGTTTCGATCGTTTTTGAACCACTCACTTAAAAAGCTTGTAAAGTTCTCGATCTCACAGCAAAAAAACCATAGTACAACTGCGAGAGCGCTACGATTTATACGTATTTTCATACATACGAAACGTCATATATAAATCAGTTGTCACTGATTTATACAAAATATATGATTTATGAATCATATATTTTTATTTGCTACTCAGCTGTTGAATCTACGGTGCGAAAGGAAAATATAAAGTACATTAGCCTAGATAAGCTATTATTCTCTATATTTTTCCTTTCACAAATATTGCTATTCCTAGCTTTGGGTTATGAATCCTACATTAAGCATATGCTGCAATAACTTATTCGTTCCTACGGTATTTTCGAGAAGAAAGAAAGTATTTTCGTAAATAATTGTAAAAAGTTATTTTTTCATATTATATTATCAAATTTTGATATATAGGATACATATGTATTATAGTTACTGAGGAAGATGAAAAAATAAATAACCATCGAAAAAACGAAATAAATGTAGTTTCAATTTAAGTTACAGACCGCAATTCCCGATGTTTCAACACAAGTCCATAGTGTTATACTACATAATTCCACGGTCATACATCAGATTTTGATACATCTAAATATACTATATACAGTAGAACGTCAATAATCCGGATTAATTGGGACCAGACCCCATCCGGATTATCAAATTATCCGGATTATCGAAATTACCTCAAAAAAGGCCAGTATACACATTAAAGTACAACAAACGTTTTAAAGTTTTATGTTTTCTCTTGTACAGTAAAGTGTCTAGAGGTGAAATTAATCAAAACATTTTTTATGTTTAAACACTGTATTGTAATTAATTTTTAATAGCACCATGTGTACAGTAAAAACATCAGACACTATTTGGGCTTTTAAAAAAATGTGTAAAATATTTTTTAACTGCGGTAGAGGTTCGTTTTTCGCAACGAAGTTCTTAATTTATTTTAAAAGAATCAGATTTTTTTTGCTAAATACAAATCCGGATTATTGACGGTCCGGATTATCGACGTTATACTGTATATATAAATTGGTTGCATTGCTCCTGTTTACCTATATTATACTTATGACGACTAATAAGTCAGAAACACGTGTCTATGGTTGCATTCCATCTTGTGCATATTCTGTTATAATATATATATATATATATATATATATATATATATATATATATATATATATAAAACAGATGAAATAGAGAATGTGGAAAAATCCCCTTACGAACAATTCACACATCCACCATTTCGGGTTATATATATATATATATATATATATATATATATATATATATGTAGTAGTTTTTTATATTTATATATAGTATATTTAGATGTATCAAAATAATATACCGATATTCAAAATATTACTATATATATATATATATATATATATATATATATATATATATATAGATATATATTATATAGTATATATTCTTCAAACCACTATATATATATATTTGTATTTGTACAAATATTATCGACCGTACTTTGTTAGATAGTAATGTTTGAATAACGGCGATTCGGTCAGTTGAAAGAAAACTCTCAAGGTTGTTATATTGGTCAAAGTAAACAATGGCTTAAGCAACGTGTCACTCAACATAAAAGTGACTGCAATATAAGAAAAAACTGTTGTGCCTTAGTAGATCACCACATACATACAGGACATAAATTTGATTTTAATAATGTAAAAATATTGGAACAAATTGATAATTATAAAAAGCGACTTTTCCTTGAGATGGTACATATTAACAAAACTCCAGAATCAATTAATTATAAGACTGATACTAACCATTTGAGTAATATCTACTGTAATATTCTAACTAATACATAACATTTAAATAAACAAATTACTCAATTTATCTTCTAATAGTTAATCTACCTCAATTTTATTTAAATTTCTAAATACCAGTCTTAGACTAACTCATGAAGTACCATCACATCAATTACATTTTATAAATCAATTTAACTTACTCTAGGTCCTTTCTTAGTTTTCTACTAAAAATTGTATATATCAGATAACATTCTATTAATATAAAATATATTGCAGTTACCATAACTCCTAAATAAGTCAAAATAAAATATGTCATTTTCTAAATCAATTTTCAAAATAATGTTAAAGAAATTTAAATTTTTACTCTTATAGTTGTAAGTATCGAAATATTTAAGTTTGTCCATGTCTAATATTAATAAATTTGCAGTTTTCTCCTGAAGAAGTCACCAAATAGTGACGAAATATTGAGACTTAAAACAAATAGAGTTTTCTTTCAACTGACCGAATCGCCGTTATTCAAACATTACTATATATATATATATATATATATATATATATATATATATATATATATATATATATATATAGAGTAGTGAGTGTAGTGTCTGGAGCCTCAGGAGACTGAGACCCCGGAAGCCCTGAAGATGACGTCAGAGAGGACGTCGAAAGCTCGGCTTGGAAATCAACGACGCGGTTCAACCCGGAAGCCTGGTGAGTTTATTTTTAATATTAATTCTTTTATTGATATTGATTTTAGCTTTAAGTTTCATTGTATTAACCGCGGAAGCCTTTCCGAACATATATATATATATATATATATATATATATATATATATATATATATATATATATTTGTACAAAATTATTTAAAAAATCACTATATAAATATATAATATATATATATATATATATATATATATATATATATATATATATATATATATATATATATATATATAAAGTAAAGAAAAAGAAGTACTATGTTGACTTATTTAAAAAAACAATTTTAAGTTTCTGTGGGTTGGAGTCAATAAAAAAGGGCTTTTAGAAAACTATTTTATATCTCTCAAGCTTTCGAATGTTAATTACATTCCTTTTCAAGAGCTAAAATACAGAGTTGCTAATAAAGTGGAAACAAAAATGATGTAAAAAATATAACTCACCAGATAAATTTAGG